TACCACCAGTAAGATTATTATCACGAATTAAGAATACTCTTAATTATTTTAAGACTGCTCTCTGATGTCTGCTCACGTGCCAACCAATACGTTCATCCCAAACCCTCGGTACCCGCCCTCGTCGTCTTCGACCGTACCCCCTTGGGGGTATATCTTCCTTACCTGCCACGTGCATTTAGTGCAGCCCTGAAAACAAGGGAAGAGAGGACGGGTGGGAGGGGGAGGAGGGAGAAGAATGGAGTACGAGAGAAATTTGCAGGAGGGGTCAAGGAGCAGAAAACAAGTGGTATAACCAGACGGGCAGATCGGGTGGGCAGACCCATAGCGGGCAGGTCGGGACGGCGGGCCCAGGCGACGAGGTCGAGCAGGCGGGTTGCTGAAGCGTGAGTCCTGCATGAGTCGCGAGGAAGTCTCGAGCGATAGCGCGATGCCCAAATAAATCATGAGAAAAGCCAAGGCGAGAGCGTGATTCCTGAGCGCCGCGGGCGCATCGTCTGAATACATTACGAGGAAGTCCCACGTGAGAGTGCGATGCGTACATGAATTGTGGGGAAGTCCCGCGCGAGAACGCGATTTGGGAATACATTGCGAGAAAGTATCCGGCGGTAGCCGTTGTTGTTGCAACTGGGGGCCAGGGTCCCAGTTTTGTCCCCGTGATTTTCCCTGATAAGCAAAAACAAGGTGCGAGCCCCTGGGGAAGCACTTCAATTGAAAAAACAGAATGGTCACAGGAGGGGGGGTCAATAATAAGTATGATTCAAAAGTGGGAGTTCAACAACGACAGCGACAGCGACAGCATCAGCAACAACATCAACAACAACAGCAATCATTTTAAGACTGTTCGCTCCTATCTGCTGACGTGCCAATCAATATGTATATCACAAGCACTCGGTACCCGCCCTCTTCGCCTTCGATCGTAACCTCCTTGGGGGTATATCTTCCTGACCTGCCACGTACATATAGTGTAGCCCTTGAAAACAAGGGAAGAGAGGACGGGTGGAAGGGGGAGGGAGAAAAATGGAGCGCGAGAGAAATTAGCAGGAGGGGGGCAAGGAGCAGAAAGCAACTGGTATAACCAGACGGGCAGATCGGGTGGGCAGACCTATAGCGGGCAGGCAGGTCGGGAAGGCGGGCCCAGGCGACGAGGTCGAGCAGGCGGGTTGCTGAAGCGTGGGTCCTGCATGAGTCGCGAGGGTCTCGAGCGATAGCGCGATGCCCAAGTAAATCGTGAGAACAGCCAAAGCGAGAGCGTGATTCCTGAACGCCGAAGGCGCATCGTCTGAATACATTGCGAGGAAGTTCCACGCGAGAGCGCGATGCGTACATGAATTGTGAGGAAGTCTCGCGCGACAGCGCGAATTGGAAATAACTTGTGAGGAAACATCAGACGGGAGCCGTTGTTGCCGTAAGCCAGGGGCCAAGGGCCCAGTTTGAGCCCCGTGATTTTTCTTGATAAAAAAGGAGGGTGCGAACCCCGGGGGGAACATTCCAATTGAAAAAGCACAATGGTCACTGGAGGGGGGGATCAGCAATAGGTGTTCTTCTGTAGTGAGAATTCAACGGCAACAACAACACCACCATCAACAACAACAACAATACCACCACCACCAACAACAACAGCAACAACAACAACAGCAATCATTTTAAGACTGCTCGCTCTTATCTGCTCAAGTGTCCGTTAACGCGTATTTCCCAAACCTTCGACACCCGCCCTCTTCGTCTTCGATCGTGCCCCTTTCGAGGGTATATGTTTCTTCCCAGCAGGCCGGGCCCCGGCATGCGGCGGGGCGGCCGCGGACCGTCGGCCTGGCCAGCGGCAGCGCTGAGCGGCGGCAGCTCGATCCCAAGAGGGACGGACAGGGGACCGACCACGACGACGACGTCGACGACGACGCGGCACTGATGGGTGGACAGCCTCCGCGGCCGCCGCCCTGCAGTTGACTTGCTCGAGGACGGCCTCGGCCGTCTGCCACGGGGCGCCCAAAGGGCGCAGACCGCGGAGGACGAGAACGGAACAGGACGACGACGACGACGACGACGACGACGACGACGACGACGACGACGACGACGACGACGACGACGACGACGACGACGACGACGAGCGAGAGCGAAAGCGAGAGAGAGAACGACAGCAGGGCCACGAAGGGCACGAAGTAGGCCATGAAGGGCGACAGCGGGGACACGAAGGAGATGCGTCTGGGGCCACGAAGAGCGCGAACGAGCGAGGGCCACGAAGGGCAGATCATGCGGGGCCACAGAAAACAACGACGGGGCCACTGAGGGTGCGAACTGGGCCACGTAGGACAGCGAGGGGGCCGCAACGTGCGACAGCGGGGCGACGAAGGACATGCACATGGGGCCACGGCGGGCGCGAACGAGCGGGGGCCACGAAGGGCATGCGTAGATTGGGCCGCGGAGGGCAAGGACGGGGCCACTGAGGGCAGCAACGGGGCCACGAAGGGCAGCGAGGGGGCCGCGAAGGGCGACGGTGGGGCCACGAAGGACATGCGTATGGGGCCACGACGGGCGCGGACGGGCGGGGGCCACGAAGGGCATGCGTATATGGGGCCACGAAGGGCAGCGAGGGGGCCACGAAGGGGTGCAACGGGGCCACGAAGGACAGCGAGGGGGCCACGAAGGGTAGCGACGGGGGCCACGAAGGGCAGCGGGGGGGCCACGAGGGGCAGCAACGGGGCCGCGAAGGGTAGCGACGGGGGCCACGAAGGGCTGCAACGGGGCCAGTGAAGGCAGCAACGGGGCCACGAACGGGTGCAACGGGGCCAAGAACGGCAGCGAGGGGGCCACGAAGGGCTGCAACGGGGCCACGGAGGGCAGCGAGGGGCCACGAAGGGCTGCAACGGGGCCACGAAGGGCAGCGAGGGGGCCACGAACGGGTGCAACGGGGCCACGAACGGCAGCGAGGGGGCCACGAAGGGGTGCAACCGGGCCAAGAATGGCAGCGAGGGGGCCACGAAGGGCTGCAACGGGGCCACGAAGGGCAGCGAGGGGGCCACGAAGGGCTGCAACAGGGCCACGAAGGGCAACGAGGGGGCCACGAAGGGTTGCAACGGGGCCACGAAGGGTAGCGATATCCCGATTCCTAAGTAATGCGTGAGGGGTCCTTTGCGTGAGCGCGACTCCTGGAGTGTCGGGAGCGCGGCGCTTGAGTAAATTGCGGGAAATTCCGGCGCAAAAAGGGGTTATTTTTGAGTGCATTTTAGACGCGTCGTGTATCCCCACCAGCCCATCCAGAAACGACGCCCAGGCGAGTAGAGGGTCATCCTGAGGGTTTTTTCGGCGTCTTGGGTGCCTCGGGGGGGCCTGCTTGGGCCGCTTGGGATCCTCTTGGGGGCCTCCTGGGGGCCTCTTGGGGCCTTTTGGGGCCATCTTGGGGCCTCTTCGGGCCTTCTGGGCGCTTCTTGGGGTCATTGTGGAGGGCATCGATCAAAGAAGAGGGGAGCTTCAATTAGGGTTGCCCCCTCAGGAGGCCAAAGTGGGGCCAAAACCCTAGTAACATCGATGATTTTGGCTTCCTCGCCGAGGCCGTCTTGGACGCTCTGACCGCTCGCGGCCCCCCCCGTCCAGGTCCACGGGGAGGGGGTAGGGGGAGGGGTAAACCCCTCCCCGAAGGGGAAGAAGGAGGGGTGGAAGAGGAATCGCCCTAAACCACCGACGCCCAGAGGGCTGGTGGGATTGCAAGCGAGTCTCCAGCGAGAGCGCGACTCCAGAGCGCCGAGAGAGCGATTCCATTGTAAAGAAGTCTCAAGCGACAGCGCGATTCCTGAATAACATGCGAGGGAGTCTCAGGCGGGAGCCGCTGTTGTTGTAACCCAGGGGCCAGGTGCCCAGTTTGAGGAGGAAGATTTTCCCTGATGAAAAAACAGCGTGCGAGCGCCAGGAGGGGCACTTCAATTGAAAAATACAACGTGCACTGGAGGGGTGATCAACAATAGTTTGTCTTCAATAGTGAGAGTTCAACAGCAAAAACAATTTCAACACCAAGAACAGCTTGGCCCGGGGAAGCCTCCGTCGGACCTGGCTAAGGGGACGACGATGAGTCCGTTCCAGGGCGTTGCGGAACGCTCTCAGAGCGTTCCGGAACGCGCTGAGAAGGCCGCGGAGCCCGAGGCATTTTCCAGAGCCGCCAGATCGCAGAGATTCCCGAGTTATCTTCACCCGATTTCATCCTCGTCGTAGCTTCGTCTTACCCTGGGGTCCAGGGCTAGTTTTTGTCAGGTTCCCTTCCCCTGATACCCAGCAGGAGTGTGTGGCGCTGCCCCAGCGGGAGGAGCCCGAGGCCCAGTTCATCGGTACCCCGGCGCCGGAGGGCCACTTCATCGGCACTCCTGCGCCGAAGGTCGCCAGTGGCGCGCCGCAGGAGCTGGAGAGCGTCCCCGAGCGGCTTGTGAGGCGCGGCCAGGAGATCCAGCAGCTGCGGGAGAAGCGCGTGGGGCGCTACCACGCGGAGCAGATCGGGTGGGCGGAGCACCGCAGGCCAGGGCCCGTTTCGATGCGATCGGCTGGATCCGATGCCGAGTTCGCTCAAGTCGGCCCGACCGGACTTCGACTCCCCCCCTCCGATGGCCCGACGCTGCCTGGTGCCTTGCACGGCGTGTGCTGGTTGTGTCGTGGCGCGGCCGATTCGATTTCGTGGCGACTCCGTGCCGATGCGGCCTGATTTGATCCACGTTCCAAGTTCCGATCCAATCCAACTTAGCCATGTGTTGCTGCCTGCTCCTTCCGCAGGCCAGATGGGTTTGACATGAGGGAGTGCGTGAAGAGACTATACACCTGCGCTGCAGGTGGTGCCACGAAGGAGGAGCTGGCGAGGAGATGTCGGGCGACGCCTTCGATGATGAAGAAGAGCACCATGAGTCCGCGCGAGCGAAGCGAGGTCCTCCTTATCGTCGTCCTTCTCCTTATCTTCACCTTCCTCCTCCTCCTCCTCCTCCTCCTCCTCCTCCTCCTCCCTCTTCTCGTCTTTCTAGCTCACTCTTCACCCTCCTGCTCCTGTTGCCTCTCCTGCTCCCTCGCCCACTGCTCCTGCTCCTGTTTCTTTTCCTGCTCCTGCTCATGTTCGCCTTCTCCTTGTCCTCCTCCTCCTCCTCCTCCTACTCTTCCTCCTCCTCCTCCTCCTCCCAATCCTCCTCCTCCTCCTCCTCCTCCTCCTCTTCCTCCTCCTCCTCATCCTGCCTCCCTTCCTGCTTCCCTCTCTCTCTCTCTGTCTTCCTCCTTCTCCTCCTCCTCCTCCTCCTCCTCCTCCTCCTCCTCCTCCTCCTCCTCCTCCCCCTCCTCCCCCTCCTCGTTTCCGCGTAGCGACGGCGTCCTCTAAAACTCGCCACGTGGTTTAGGTAATCGCTGCGCCGAACAATCCGCGACTTCGCGTTGGTCATGACGTCAGATGTCTAGGGGGAGTCAGGGGTGATGGTGGTGCGCATGCAAACACCTGTTCAAACGCTTTCGCTTTCCCGCGGCATTGCGCACGCCTGCATCCCACATTTCAGAAAATAGCAACAAAACCCATGTGAAGGTAAGGTTCAGTCTCCGTCTCCTCCTTCTCCATATTTTTCACATCCTCTTCATCCTGCCTCCCTTCCTGCTTCCCCGCCCCGCCGCCCTGCCCCCGCTCCCGCCTGCTTCCGCTCCTCTCGGCTCTCTGCCTATGCCTTAATGCTGTTGTCATGGATCATTGTGATCGCTCCTTATATATATATATATATATATAACTCCTCCTCCTCCTCCTCCTCCTCCTCCTCCTCCTCCTCCTCCTCCTCCTCCCCTCCTTCCTTCCTCCCTCCATGGTGGTGCATCATGCCCCTGGTCCCATCAACGAAGTTTCAGGCGTCACTACGCCATATCTCCTCATGCGCTCTTCTTCTTCTCCCTCCCCCTCCCCGAACAAAAAACGCTTCCCAGACCTGTCCAGGTGTGTATTTAGACAAGTGATCTGGCCGTGACGATCCTTCCCTTCTGCTCGTATCGGATGCCATCGAATTAGGAAGCATACCCCCCAATCTCGGCCCTCGGTCCTCGAACCTCCTCCCTGTCCTCTTCCTCCCCTCCCTCGTTCGTTTCCTCCCTCCTCCCCCCTCCCTCTTCCTCCCTGCCGATCCCCGCTCTCCCTCTTCGTCCCTCCCTGCCCGCCCTCAACCTGCCCCTCCCAGGTCTGGGACAGGCTGCAGAGCCCCCGCGCGGTCGTCGAGGACTCCCTTCCTGGGGGCGGACGGTGTCGGCCGGCCGCTGCCTGCTGATGGGGGGAGGAGCCAGCCAGAACTTCGATGGCCGAGGTCTCTCGAGCATCGAGGATCGAGGAAGATCCACGTCGAGGAACAAGTCTTTTATTAGGCGGGGCTCCAGATGCCTGCAAGGAACCCTAGTGACCTCCGCGGACCTCCAGAAGAGGAGGAGGAGGAGGAGGAGGAGGAAGAGGAGGAGGAGGAGGAGGAGGAGGAGGAGGAGGAGAAAAACGCTTCAGCTGAGTAGCTAAAGTCTGACCAACGTCAAAGGGAGGAGAAGGAGGAGGAGGAAGAGGAGGAGGAGGAAGAGGAGGAGGAAGAGGCGGAGGAGGAGGAGGGGTGCTTGCTTTGAGCCCTTCGAGTGGCCAAACAGCAATCCAGGTCGGCCCTTCCTTTGGCCTTCTGGCGGTGTTCGCGCCCCCCCGACCCCCCCCTGATGGGGCTGCTTGGCACTTCCTGGCCTCCCTGGCCCTCAAGGTGACCACGGGGGGGAGGGCGCACGGTGAGAGGCGCAAGCGTCGAAGGCAGAGCACCACGTCGCCGTCGGCGTCTTCTTCCTCGTCGCCTCGCGTCCCGCATTGGGAGCCAGATCACGCCGGCCGCTGCGCTGTGAGGGGGACTGGGAGGGGGAGGGGGAGGGGAGGGGGAGGGGGAGGGTGAGGGAGAGTGAGGGGGAATGGGAAGGTGAGGGAGGGGGGGGGGGAGGAGGGGGGGGGAGGGATGGGGGAGGGGGAGGGGGGGGGGAGGGGGGGAGGGAGGGAGGGAGGGAGGGGAGGGAGGGGGGGAAGGGGAGGGGGAATGGAGGGGGTGGGGGGGGGGGGGGGAGGAGGGGGGAGGGATGGGGGGGGAGGGAGGACGCGCGCACGTGGCCCGTATCGTACTATTTGACAAGGGATGTGCCCCCCAGCAGGTGCGTACTGGCGTCGGAATGACGTCGACATGTGCGCGAGAGGCCTGTCCGCGTAGTGTGAGTTGGCGGGAATGTTGAAACACCTACGTCCAGTACCGGTTTTGATACATGCTCCGCGTGCGGATCATGTATTCAACATGCAGGGATTCAGTATTGAAAACAACAATAAGTTCATGCATATATTTACCGCATAGACCACCCTTCGGGTGATGAGGAGGTGAGGGGGGGAGGGACCAACGTCGCACTCGATTGATCTCACTATCGAACTCACTACCGATCTCACAATCGATCTCAATCGATAGATCTCACAATCGATCTGACTATCGATCTCACAATACATCTCACAATCGACCCCACAATCGATCTCACATTCGGTCTCGCTATTGATCTCACGATCGATATCACAATCGATCTCGCATTCGATCTGACTATCGATCTCACTATCGATCTCTCTATCGAACTCACTTTCGATCTCATTATCGATCTCACATCGATCTCACTATCGATATCACAGCCGAACTCACAATCGATCTCGCAGTCGGCCTCACTATCGATCTCTCTATCGAACTCACTTTCGATCTCATCATCGATCTCACTATCGATCTCACTATCGATATCACAACCGAACTCACAATCGATCTCACATTCGGTCTCATCATCGATCTCACTATCGAAATCACTACCGATCTCATTACCGATAGTGGTCTCACTACTAACTCAATCGATCGATCTTACAATCGATCTGACTATCGATCTCACAATAGATTCCACAATCGATCTCACATTCGGTCTCACTATCGATCTCACTATCGATATCACAATCGATCTCACAATCGATATCCCATTCGGTCTCACAACCGATCTCACTATCGATCTCATGATCGATCTCACATTCGGTATCACAATCGATCTCACAATCGATCTCACAAGCGATCTGACATTCGATCTCACAATCGATATCACAATCGATATCACTACCGATCTCACTATCGATCATCAAAACAAAACATCAACATCGTCATCATCATTCATCATCATCATCATCATCATCATCATCATCATCATCATCATCATCATCATCATCATCATCATCATCATCATCATCATCATCATCATCATCATCATCATCAATATCATCACCATAATCGGGACACCGACGGGGCACCAGCGGGACACCGCGGGCCCCCGGCCGCCCAGAAGGGAATCATTTGGTCCGGCCGCGCCTCAGCCACACGGGACACCAGCGGGACACCGGCGGGACACCGCGGGGCCCCGGCCGCCCGGAAGGGAATCATTTGGTCCGGCCGCGCCTCAGCCACACGGGACACCAGCGGGACACTGGCGGGACACCGCGGGGCCCTGGCCGCCCGGAAGGGAATCATTTGGTCTGGCCGCGCCTCAGCCACAGGAGACTTTCCTCTCGCCCGCCCACGCAGCTTCGCCTCGCCCGCACGCACGGCACGCACGAACACGAAACCGACATCGATTTCCCGGTAAGGGGGCTCTCCGTTCCACTTCGATCTCACCCCCTCACCTCCGATTCACACATTAGTCATGTATTAAAAATCATGTATTTTTAAATCCAATGTATAAACAAAAAACTGCCCTGTAGGGTTTTCATCATAATTCGCAACAGCGCGTATGTTTTTCGATTTAACGTTGAGAAGCATTTTTTTCCCAGACCGTCCTGTGATGTTGGGTTTTCGTTTTGAAGGGACCGCGCCCTGCGTCCCTCCCACCATCCACCTCCTCCTCCTCCTCCTCCTCCTCCTCCTCCTCCTCCTCCTCCCATCCCCGCCTCTGCCCTCCGCATGTCCCTGTTTCGGCACACTCCTCACACGTTTCGTGGCCCCATGGGGAGCTCCAGCGAAGGCCCCAGTGGCAGGGTTCGCCCTTGGTGGCGCCGCCCCACATTGGCTTACCCCCCACACGGCTCACAGCACCACAGGGAGCTCCACCGGAGGCCCCGGTGGCAGGGTTAGCATGGCGGCGCCGCCTCATTTTGGCGCAATCCTCACGCGGTTCGTTGTCTCATAGGAGGCTCCACCTGAGGCACCAGTGGCAGGGATAGCATGGTGGCGCCGCCTCATTTTGGTGTAACCCTCACGCGGTTCGTGGCCCCGTAGGGACCTTCACCGAAGGCTCTAGTGGCAGGGTTCGCATGGCGGCGCCGCCCCATCTTGACGCATCCCTCACACGGTTCGTGGCCCCATAGGGAGCTCCACCGAAGGCCTCAGTGGCAGGGTTCGTATGGCGGCGCCGCCCCACTTTGGCGCACTCTTCACGCGGTTCATGGCCCCAGAGGAGGCTTCATCAGAGGCCCTACTGGCAGGGTTCGTATGGCGGCGCCGCCCCACTTTGACGCAACCCTCACACGGTTCGTGGCCTCATAGGGAACTCCACCGAAAGCTCAGTGGCAGGGTTCGCATGGCAGCGCCGCCCCACCTTGGCGCAACCCTCACACGGTTTGTGGCCTTAAAAGGATCTCCACCGAAAGCCCCAGTAGCAGGGTTAGTATGGCGGGGCCGCCCCACTTCGGTACACTCACGCGGTTCGTGGCGCCATAGGGAACTCCACCGATGGCCACAGTGGCAGGGCTCTTATAGCGGCGCCGCCTTATTTTGGTGCACCCCTCACACGATTCGTGGCCCCAGATGGAAGCTCCACCAGAGGCCCCAGTGGCAGGGTTAGCATGGCGGCGCCGCCCCATTTTGGCGCACCCCTCGCACCGTTCGTGGCCCCCTAGAGCAGCGGGGCGAGAAACCTGGGGACGCCATACAGTCAAAACTCGTAGTAAGCACTCACGGATGTCCTTAGGGCATCCTTGCGTCCTTGCCTCTGCGGCCCGTCCTTCGCGGTTTTCACCGGCCAGCCCTTCAGGGTGTTGGCAGTCCGCCGCGCAAGAAGTGCCAACTTCGGCGTCCGAGGCCCTTGCGTCCTTGCCCCCCGATCGTACGCTGGGCATTTCGACTGTAGCGCGCGCGAAGCTCGGGAGAGCGATCGACAGGGACTCAGTGCTACGCGCTCCCGGACTCGATCCAGGCCACCCTCCTCTCGGGTGGGAGCCTCGGATCGAGCTCCGGGCCGACGCCCAGGTCGGCCCTGGGAGCGCCGCGATACGGCACGCTCCGCGTGTGCTGGCAGCGGCATGGACCGCTGGCGTCCGCAACTCCTCCTCCTCCTCCTCCTCCTCCTCCTCCTCCTCCTCCTCCTCCTCCTCCTCCTCCTCCTCTCTCCACATCGTCCTCCTCCTCCTCCTCCTCCTCCTCCTCCTCCGTGGGGGGCCGTGGGCGGGCCGGGCGGGGCTCATCCACTGGTCGGCAGTGTGGACCCTGGGGCCCGTCGAACGGCCGTGGAAGGGCTGCGCCAGCTGTTGGTTATGCCAGCTTGTGGTGCTTGAGCCCTCTGGCGACGTGTTGGTACAGGGTCGCGTATCGTGAACTGGCACCCGATTGCGAGGGGATCCTGTCGGGAAAGGGCGCCACCTTCCCTCTCCCTCCCCTCTTCTTGCTTCCCCTCCGTCCTGCCTTGTCGCTCCAGTCGTCGCGCCTGGTCCGTTGCCTTTTGGGCCCAGAGCTCATGCCAGTCGCCGCTGTCTCAGGATGGATAAGACCGCACTTCCGCAGTCGGGATGTGCCTAGCGGTCTGCGCTGAGCTCCCGCTCGGCGAGTTCGTTGGTCGCTGCGTCCTGGCTTTGCAGCGCCTCATTTTCCACCACCGATCTGCATGGCCGTGGTTGGATTCTTTCATAACGGCGCGTTCGACTAAGTTCGTTCGTAATTGGCACCTCCACCTGCCGACCGCGCCTGAGGCTCCTCTGCGGTCGAAGGGCCGTGCTTGCACTTCGAGTGCCATGGCGAGAGCAGCTGGTGCGACCCGTGCCGCGTGAGGCGAGTAGTTGCGGACAGGCTCCACGAGAAGGGCATTCATGAGCATTCGGATGCTGCTTGGGGGGTGCTTGTGTTCGTGACCCCAGAACGCCAGGTGCCATCCAAAAGGGTGGTCATCGCCGCCTGGCACGGCCTCGCGCCAGAGGCGCATCCCCCACTCGGTGGCCACGCTGCCCGGAGGAGCGGTGCAAAGCGCTGCGCTCGCGCCGGGCTTGCTTCACAGGTTCATCATGCATCTGTTCCGATGGGCGTCTGCAGCAGTCCGCGGCTACGCGGAGGAGGCGCTGTCGGAGCGGGCGTCAGGGAGGACGTGGTGGCAGCTGAGACCCCCAGCGGCAGGCTCGACGCGGTGTTTGCCGACCTCTGGTGGAAGCTTGGTCATCGTCAGCTGAGCTGCTGGCTGCTCCCGACCTTTTTGCGGTGGCGACGGCCGCCGCTACTCCCGCGCCGGCCCTTGTGATGCAATGGGTCTCGATATGTGCGGGTCGGTGCCATGAGCGGTCCTCCGTACCCTGGGTTTCCTAATCAGCGTGGGGGTGTACCGCCCCGACGGGGGTTGACCTCGCCTCGTCGTCGCGCCGCGACGGGGGTCGGAGCGCCATCGGCGCGCGGTGGCTGCCCGCGACGGGGGTCGATGTGGGGCTGTCAGCGGGGGTGACGCGCCCCCCCCGACGCTCATTAAGAAACTCGGAGTAGGATTGGGCATCCCGTCGTCATACTGGACAATGGTGCGCGTGTTCCGTTTCGCCGGTCAGGGGCGTTCGCATTTCACGCCAGTTGGGAAGGTCACGGCAAGGGGCGTTGGTGCCAGCAACTGGTGTCGTCGTAGCCCTGCACCGCCGTGGTGCGAGGCAAGCGCGGCGCTGCCAGGTGGGGCCGTGCGGGCGCCTGCAGGCCATCGTGGGCCGTGCTGAGCGCCTCCCCCCCTTTGGGCATCTTCGCTGTCCTGTGCACGCGTCGTGCGTGTGGGCGGACCGTGCCGCGACCGACGTGCAGGGAAGGCATGCGCTCTGGGTCGTGTGCGTGCGCCGCGCAAGGTTTCCAGATGTCCAGAACTGGTCCAGAGCGTTCAAGCATCTCGGTCCTCTTCCTCGCGCTTTCTTCTACGCCCTCGAGTTTCCAGCTTCCTGGTGCGGCAGGTTCGCACCGCGTTGACGCGGCGGCGAGGCCAGTGCGGGCGTTCAAGGTTCAGAACTCAACCAGCTGGCCAGACTCGGCCAGTATTGAACGGTCCCCGCAGTCGGATAGCAGCACGATCGTTCCAGATTTAGCTGTCCACGCCGTGTCAGAAACCGATGCCGAAGTCATCGCGACGTGGACCTGCCGTGGGCAGTGTCTTCCGACCTCCTGGGGGCAGGAGGCACCGCCGCCGCCGAAGCCCCAGCTGGCGCTTCAGCCCTGCGAGGGCAACTCGCGGATGGCCGCGGAGCCCGCCCGACCTTTTTGCCTTTCAGCAGGAGGAGGAGGAGGAGGAGTAGGAAGGAGGAGGAGGAGGAGGAGGAGGAGGAGGAGGAGGAGGAGGAGGAGGAGGAGGAGGAGGAGGAGGAGGAGGAGGAGGAGGAGGAGGAGGAGGAGGAGGAGGGCAGCAGGAGGAGGAGTGGAGGAAGAGGAGGATGAGGAGGAGGAGGAGGAGGAGGAGGAGGAGAGGAGGAGGAGGAGGAGGAGGACTAGGAGGAGGCGGAGGAGGAGGAGGAGGAGGAGGAGGAGGAGGAGGGAGGAGGAGAAGAGGAGGAGGAGGAGGAGGAGGGAGGAGGAGGAGGAGGAGGAGGAGGAGGAGCAGGAGGAGGATGAGGATGAGGCGGAAAGGGAGGAGGAGGAGGCGGAAAAGGAGGAGGAGGAGGAGGAGGAGGAGGAGGAGGAGGAGGAGCAGGAGGAAATGGATGAGTAGGCCGAGAGTAAGGCCAGGACTGGTCAACGACGCTGCAATACATCCTCCCGCCCCCCCTGCTCACGAGTCTCTACAAACCTTTTCCCTGACCTTGGAAAGCGCCCTTCTAAACGGCGAGTGCGTGATGGGCATGTCATTCAAGCAAGAGTCCCGTTTGGAAGTGAAGCCGCCTTCCATCATTCTAGCCATAAGACACGCGTGCCTGCGAACAACACTTCAGAAGTGTCCAGCGGGAGCCCTGGCTCGAAAGGGGATCGCCCTCCATCCGTGTACAGTGCCGTTTTTAATACGTGCTCCGCGTGCGGATCATGTATTAAACATGCAGGGATTTAATAGTAAAGCAACGACGAGTTCGTGCATACATGTATTCATATGTTAACCATGTATTAAAATCCTATATGTTTAAACATCATATGCGTTAAAAGCTGCCCTGTAGCTTGTGCAATTGCTTCTGTGGTTACCCCAACTGGAGGAGGCCTCATCCTGGAGCCCCACTTGGAGAAGCGCCGCCATCGACATCTGCCGCTGGCGCTCGTCAGGGGCGCTTCGTGTCGGAGAGGGGCAGCGCTCCGTCCGTGGATTCGTCGGAAGTCCTCCGATGGTGTGAGGGCGAGCGCCACATCTTGGCATCGAGCCGCCGTCCATCCACGTAGCTGCTCCGGGCAGTCCACACATGTGCTCAGCGCAGGGGCCAGCGCGAGTCACGTTTTGACTTCGGATCGCCCTCCATCCGTGCAAGTGTTTTTGGAGCTGTGGGGACGAGTGTGCGCAGCGCTGCTGCGAGAGCCATGCTCCGAAGACATTTCACATGCATGTGTCCTCCTGGCAGGCAGCAGAGCAGAGGACTGCAGCCACCGTGTCATAGCAGAGTCATGATGATAACCTGTGTAGTGGTCGGAAGTGTCACATTTCCGGACCATGAGTGGCGGTGAAGGCCCGCTCTACAGACGCGCCTGGCGGTGCGACGAGGAGAAGTTATCCACAAGGAAGAGAGTGCCGCTGGACAGGGATCCCCCTTCGGCCACTCCGGATCGGCGTGGTCCAGGCAGGGGGTTCCGCCGCGGGGTACGCTGCGGCGTTCCCTGATCATTGCGGGGTGCGCCGCGGATGAGGAGCAGGAGTATGGGGCCCTGGCTGCTCCGACTGGGTCAGTCCTGGACCAGCTGGGAAGCACCAGCGTTGCCAACGTACAAACATACTTGGCCACTGGGGCTTTCAAATCCACATCCTTCATGCCCTCCTCATCAGGTGGGTGAGTGTTACGAGCATGACTTGCGGCTATGTCCGTGTCGTTGTTGCGTCTCCTGCAGAGCTGTTCGAAACGAGAGATGCCAGCCTCATCTAAACCTCTGTGCGCGTCGACCTCAATTATCGACTGCGCGCAGGATCCCTCTCAGGCATTGGCATGTCATATAACTCCACGACGCGTTCTCGTGCCAGACAAGCGCGCAGGCGAAGGGAGCAGAGAGTGTTTGACCACATTGAGACAGTCGCTAGAGCACGTGAATGGGCACTTGACAAGAGTGCCTGCCATACCCGATCTGAAGAACTCACAGGCCTGATGGGTCGGAGGGCGCCGGGCCCGCACGGGCCCCCAGCTTCCCCGACCAGACCGCAGAGGCTGAAGTGAACAGTGATGGCCCGCCCTGCTGAGCTCATCTATGACGCGCCTCTTGCACGACCCGTCGAAGAACGAGTGGCTCCAGATGGGTCCCTCAGCGGTCTCCTCGGGGCCTCCGGGGCCCAGCAGGGAGGCCCGGGCCACAGGCGGACCGAACCTGTCCTTCACGGCGCGGTCTGGCACGGCGCCTCGGCGCTATGGGCGCGGCTTCCTGCTGCGTCACGCTCGGTCAGAGCGCGCCGGACAATGTGATCGGCGGGATGTGAGATACTGCAGCTCTTCCTGCCCGAGATGCCCGAGTGTTTTTTGAGCTTCTCGGTCCTCCCGCACATCTGGGCCCTGCGTTTCTTGAGCTTGCTTGCGCATCTTCTGGACCTGATGGCGTTCCCCGCCGGAAGTCAAGCCCACAGTTCACCGTGGCGTCCGCAATTCTCCCCGCAAGAGCTTCAAGCCTCTTGGCAGCTTCACTGGCCACTTGCTTGCACGACGAGGCCGTGCACACCTTATCCAAAGCGTCGCTGCAGCCAAGCAAAACAGTGATGGCAAAATGTAGCACCAGCGTGCTGTCCGCAATTGCTGACGCAATTTGCTGCCGTCTACCTGTGGAGGAGAGCCCACTGTCGTTGAGATCGGTATCCAGATCGTTTCAAGGGGGGAGCTGGATGGAGTCGAAAGCGTCAAGCGCAAGAATTCGAATGAGGGTGGTAGGCAACTGCACTCTGCTATCACCCCTTTCTTTGCAACGTAGGGCCCAGCAAGGATGCCCACCACGGACAGGAGACGACCGCGACGAACGGCACATATGCAAGGGCGGGCGATCGAGAGGGGGGAATGGTGTTTCTTACATTTTACCGTCTTCAATTCGAAGGTCGACCGTCTCATGACATTTCAGCATGCCGGAAAACAACAAGAAACATACACTTCTTTGACCGAGGTGCCACTACCCGCGCGGCTACTCTGCCGCTTGACAACGTCGGCTGCGCCTTGATTCAGGAGGGGAAAAAACACACAGACACAAATTATCGTCGATTCCCCAGAAAATATGGGAAACTATGGGAAGTGGGGTGAGAAGACAGAAACCCAGAAAATATAGGAAAATATGGGACATCATTTTATTTGTGTGTATTTATTTGTGTGTCCTGGGGCCCCTTCATTGATGCCCTTCCACAGCCAAGCACCGACGGGGTGCTCCTGCTCCCAGGCCAGGGCGAGGGGCCGCCGATAGTAGCCCCACACTCGGTACCAGGAGCAGAACACCCCTTATCGGTCTGCAGCCACCAGTAGGCCTCGAGAGCAGCGACAGCAACACATCGGAGCTCTTCTCAGGCAGCTGCCCCACCGCTCCCACGACCGCAGTCACGGTGGAGAGAGAGTGTCCAGAGCATGATCGCCGAGATACTGGAAGTGCCTGCAGTTCAGTTCATCATAAGAATCAACGGACCCTCTCTGGCACTGCCTGGACATCTTCCACACTTCCTCAGCGCTGCGGCGGGGTAGGGGCTGCACCGACGAGGGTTCGCGGGGCAAAGCTCCGCAACCCTCGTCCCCCCAAAGATAAAGCTTTTGGCTTTCTGCGGCCAGGGGTGCAAGGGGGTCTGACGCAATGGAACCATCCAGCGCTACCGCGGTAGTGGTCTTCCATGGGCATGGACCTCGCGTCGTGAGATGAACCTTTTTCGCCCCCTCTCATCCAGGCCACTCTTGACCCGCGCTTGCTAGTCCTGTCGAGAGCGCGTGGCTGCGCTCCTGCTGGCCAGCAGGGGCGCTTCTTCGATGCGCGAAGCCAGAGATATCCCTTGCTCGAGCAGGAGCTCCGAGGCCTCGGCGGCAAAAAGCAGCATCGCAAAACATAGGTCCTATGGGCCTCGCTGGTCTGGGCCGTGCCAGGATGATCTCGCAGAAGCTGGCGGAGATTGCCGACCTGTACTGACGACCTTGGTTGTTGTCCAGGAGTAACTTTAGGGCCCGAGATTGAAAACTAGAGGGGGGGGGGGCGAGGGGGGGGCGTGGAAAAGGAGGGGAAACAAGGGAGCGAGCAGGAGAAGGAATCTAATAATGAGGACGAGAATAAAATTATCCCAGTGCGACCCTACCTAGGAGCTGGAGCCCCTAGGAAAGCATCATTAGTAGTAACAGAAAAGCTAAGCTAAAGCTAAGCTAAAGCTAAGCTAAAGCTAAGCTAAAGCTAAGCTAAAGCTAAGCTAAAGCTAAGTTAAAACTAAGTTATACCTAAGCTAAAGCTAAGCTAAAGCTACTACAAAGCTAAGCTGAAGCTAAGCTAACGCTCAGCTAAAACTAAGCTAACGCTAAGCTAGAGCTAAGCTAAAGCTAAGCTAGAGCTAAGCTGAAGCTAAGCTAAAGCTAAGCTGAAGCTAAGCTGAAGCTACGCTAAAGCTAAGCTGAAGCTAAGCTAGAGCTAAGCTAAAGCAAAGCTGAAGCTAAGCCGATGCTAAGCTAGAGCTAAACTAAAGCCAAGCTGAAGCTAAACTGAAGCTAAGCTAAAGCTAAGCTAAAGCTAAGCTAAAGCTAAGCTAAAGCTAAGCTAAAGCTAAGCTAAAGCTAAGGTAAAGCTAAGCTAGAGCTAAGCTAAAGCTAAGCTAGAGCTAAGCTGAAGCTAAGCTAACGCTAAGCTAGAGCTAAGCTAAAGCTAAGCTAAAGCTAAGCTGAAGCTAAGCTAGAGCTAAGCTAAAGCTAAGCTAGAGCTAAGCTGAAGCTAAGCTGAAGCTAAGCTGAAGCTAAGCTAGAGCTAAGCTAGAGCTAAGCTGAAGCTTAGCTGAAGCTAAGCTAAAGCTAAGTCAAAGCTAAGCTGAAGCTAAGCTAAAGCTGAGCTAAAGCTAAGCTAAAGCTAAGCTAAAACTAAGCTAAAGCTAAGTTAAAGCTAAGCTGAAGCTAAGCTAAGCTGGGTGAACCCAGGGGGCGCAACTGGGGGAACCGCGGGGCGGGGACCCGGGGAACCGCCCGGGGCGCTTTCCATTGCCCGGCCCCTTTAAGCTAAGAAAGTAAGAACCCTTCTAGGCAGAGCCTAGGTAGGGAAAAAGAGGATGAGGAGGGCGAGGAGTGGACATGTTTGACCATTTCGCGCGTCTTTACGCCTCCCCTGGAGGAGCCGGGGGGGATCATCAGCGGGCCGGAACCCGATGGCTCCGTCCATGCGTGGTTCAAGAACCGCCCGCGCGTGCAGTTGCCGGCGGGGGCGTGGGCATTCCTCGCGCGGCCCATGCTCGCAAAATACATGCAGAGGTCTCGAACGGTCAACGAGCTTATGCGTGCGCGTATACATGTATATACATTTGCATGATTGTATGCATGAGTGTATGTGTGTATATATATATACATATGTTTACACACACCTATGCACATGTGCACACATATGAGCCGGGCTACGGAATGAAGGGCTCCCTGCGAGCTGCCTTGCTTCGCCGTGGGCGCCCCGAGTTGTCGGGTGTCTTCCTCAGAGGGCCCAGAATGGCCCGCGCAGCTTCCCCAACCTGTGAAGCGAGGTCCAGGAAGCCTCCCTTTCACTCAATTAGCGACCCAATGCCCCCAAGACAGCTTCCAGACTACCCAGGATGTTCTCGAGCCGCCCCGAGAAGCCGCCGAAAGCTTGCCCAAAAGAGCCCCCAAGGGCAGCATTCCGTGCGTTTTATGATGGGTGTTCGACGTTTTTCACGATTGCGCGTGTCCGGCTCCGATGCAATCCGACACGGCCCCACGCGGTTTTGAGTTCGTTCTCAGACGGCCCAGGAGGCTTCAACGCGGTCCAAAAACAGCCCCGCTGAGCTCCCAGACGGCCCGCGAGGCCGCGAACCAGTCTTCCGGACCTGGTGGTGATGGTGGCGATGATGATAAAAAAGCTGATGATGGTGCTGGTGAGGACGCCGATGATGATGATGCTGCTGCTGATGATGATGATGCTGACGATGATGATGATGACGATGATGATGATGATGATGATGATGATGATGATGATGATGACGATGCTGATGATGATGATGACGATGATGATGATGATGATGACGATTATGATGATGATGACGATGATGATGATGCTTATGATGATGATGATGATGATGATGATGATGATGATGATGATGATGATGATGATGATGATGATGATGATGATGATACTGCTGCTGCTGCTGCTGCTGCTGATGATGATGATGATTATGATGATGATGATGATGATGATTGTGATGATGATGATGATGATGATGATGATGATGATGATGATGATGATGATGATGATGACGATGATGATGATGATGATGATGATGATGATGATGATGATGATGATGATGATGATGATGATGATGATGATGATGATGATGATGATGATGATGATGATGATGATGATGATAAAGAGCCCTCCATGCGGGCTTCCACCAGAGGCGCTCCTGATGGCCCAGAGGCTTTCAACATAAACGGAACGAAACCCCCAAAACGCCCCTCAGAGGATTTCAGACGCCCCAGAGAGATTCCAAGGAGTATTCAACACGCCCGCCAGCTGCCGTTTCACGTGCTCTGGAAACGTATCTCTGGAGCACGTGTCATGACGTTTACAAAGACGATGGCGAGGACGACATTTCAAGACGGCCCCAAGACGGCCCGAAAACGGGCAAAAACGTCCCAGACGGCCGAAGAGGGACCCTACGGCCCTGAGAGGGCCCCAAGAGGTTCCGAAACAGCCTCCAGCGGGCCCCGCGACACCTAACGGGCGGGACCCTGACCCCGACCCTAACGGGCGGGTCGGTCGGGCGGGACATTCAAGTATCAATCATCACCATGTCACCACGCGCGCACCCTAACGGGCGGGTCGGGTCGGCTCGGGTCGGGCGGACGGCGGGCCCTAATGGGCGGGTCGGGTCACGCGGGTCGGAGCGGGTCGGGCGGGCGGACCCTGACGGGCGGGTCGGGTCGGGTCGGGCGGCTCGGGCCAGACGGGCCCTGCCCGGGTCGGGTCGGCCCGGGCGGCTGGCGGACCTTGTCGGGTCGCGGAGGTCGGGGCGGGTCGGGCGGGCGGACCCTGACGGTCGGGTCGGGTCGGACGGGCGGACTTTATCGGGCGGGTCGGGTCGGGCGGGCGGGACATGGAAGTTTCACGCATCCCTTGCCCCAGCCGTAATTCCCTAACACCGGAACTCTAACTCCCGTGCGAGAGCCACCTAACACAAACCCGAAAACCCAGATCACAACACCCTTCCTGCTCCTCTTCCTCTTCCTCCTCCACCTCCTCACTCTCATCCTTCTCCTCCGCCTCCGACTCCTCCTGCTTCTTCTTCTTCTTCTCCTCCTCCTTCTCCTGTGCCTCCTCATCCTCCTCCACCTCCTCCTCCTCTTCCGCTCCGCCTCCTCCTCCTCCTCCTCCTCCTCTTCATCCTCATCCTCATCCTCCTTCTCCTCCTCCTCCTCCTCCTCCTCCCTCCTTCTTCCTCCTGCTCCTCTCCAGATGACCACGATGACGAGCAGGGAGGGGCAGGACGGATGGAGGCAGTCCGGAGGTCCGGCGGAAGTCCAGAGGAGTTCCGAGGGAGGGAGGAGGCGCTGGGCGCCTCGCTGCCGCCTCGTTGCCGCCTCCGCCGCTGGAGCGGGTACGGCGGGCAGCCGCCATGCTGTTGAAGGGGGCGCCCGGTTGCCGCCACGGTGGGCGCCTCGTTGCCGCCTGGCTGCCGCCTCCATGGCCCGGGCGGGTGTGGCGAGGATCCGCCCTGCTGTCGCGGCAGGTCCCTCGTGGCTGTCTGGGTGGGGGCCTCGCTGCGCCCAGTTGCGTGGCAGTCGCCGGGCACTGCAGTCGCACCGCATTGCAGCGTTGCATCGCGCTGTGATCGCACTGCGTTGCAACTGCATGTCGTTGCAGCCTCATTTCATTGCAATCGCATTGCATTGCACCCACATTACAATAGCGCCGTTCATTGCAATCGCATTGAATTGCAAGCGCATTGCCTTGCAATCGCATTGCAATCGCATTGCATTGCAATCGCATTGAGTTGCAATCGCTTTGCATTGCAATCGCATTGCATTGCAATCGCGTTGCATTGCAATCGCTTCGCACTGCAATCACATTGCAGTGCATTGCATAGCATTGCATTGCAATCGCATTGCGTTGCAATCGTATTGCGTGGCAATCGCGGTGCGTTGCATTGCAATCGCATTGCATTGCAATCGCGCGACGCGCGCCAGCAGTTCTAGGGCCTCTCTGCGCCCATCTCCGCCCAGGGCGGGGTGGGGGTGTGGGGGGGGGAAACGTGGCGCCCCCCCCCCCCCCCTTCCGGGAGGGGAGAAAACCGTCAGGGGAAGAACAACAAACGCGGAGGGGACAACAAAAAGGTGGAGACCCCCAGGGGAGGAGGAGGAGGAGGAGGAGGAGGAGGAGGAGGAGGAGGAGGAGGAGGAGGAGGAGGAGGAGGAGGAGGAGGAGGAGGAGGAGGAGGAGGAGGAAATACACACGGGGGGGGGAACAAAAAGCGTTCCCCCGTCCATGAGCTGCAGTTCCGGACCAGCAGCCGTATCGCCAGAGCCGCACGCGCCGCCTGGCGGCTCGGCCGCCGCGGGCGGCGCGGGGCCGCGTGGCGCTGAAGGATGAACGTCGTCCGCCGGACGATGGTCATTTCTCTTCCCTCCCATCATCCCACTGTTCCGCTTCCTCACTCTTCTCCCTCTCCCTCAACCTCCTCTCCGCCCTCAAAGACTCCCCCCCTCCTCGGACTCCTCCATCTTTGCTCGCCATTCCTCTCTCCTCTCCCCGTCTCTCTGCATCCCTGCCTCTCCTCCTCCTCGCTGCCTCCCTCCCGCCCGGCATCCCCGCATTTCTGCCGCACTCGCTTCCTGGCTCTTTACTTGCCGGCCTCCCACCCTTTCTCTGGCGACGACTGCGGCGGCGAAGACGGCGGCGACGACGAACGACAACGGCGATCACCACCACAATGGCAACGACGACCCATTCGCGACGACCGTGGCAGCGACGACGACCGACGAGTTGCGACCTAGCCACGACCGACGGCGCTCCCCAGGAGCGCCTCCACCTCGACTCGAAAGCGCGGGTGCAGAAGAGGGCGGCCCGCATGGAGCAGCGGCGGCAGGAGTGCCGATGATGATGATGGTGATGATGATGCTGATGATGATGCTGCTGATGATGGTGATGGCCGTGATGATGCTGATGATGATAATGCTTTTGTTGATGATGATTGTGATGATGCTGCTGATGATGGTGGTGGTGGTGGTGACGATGATGATGATGATGATGATGATGATGATGATGATGCTGAATCATGACCATGAAGAAGAGGAAGCTGATGCTGCTGATGATGCTGCTGATGCTGATGATGCTGATGATGTCGTTGCTGGTGATGATGATGGTGGTGATGGTTCTGATGGGAGTATGCGGCTGATGGTGAGGATGCTATCGATGCTTATGAGACAGAGGACGACGCTCTATGCTGGTTCGGAGGAGGGGAAAGCAGAGGGAGGAGTGATAAAGGATGAGGGCAGGGGAAGAAGGGGAGGGAGAGAGGGGGTAGGTCTGAATATTAGCCAGAGGGAGGGGAGAAGGGAGAGGATGAGGAGGAGGAGGAGGACGAGCAGGGGAAGCTGCTGCTGCTGATGACGATGCTGATGATGCTGATTATGATGATGCTGATGATGATGACGACGATGCTGCTGCTGATGATGATGACGAGGATGATGCTGACCATGATGATGACGACGACGACGACGATGATGATGATGATGACGATGATGATGATGATGATGATGACGATGATGCGCAGTGAATGAGGATAATGGCGACGTTGATGGTGTTGGTGATGGTGCCGGTGATAACGATGACGACGATGCTGAAGGGGATGATCTGCTGCTGCTGCTGATAATGCTGGTGATGACGACGAGGATGAGGATGCTGATGATGCTGATGCTGATGCTGCTGCTGATGATGATGATGATGCCGACGCTGGTGACGATGATCATGCCGATGATGGTACTGATGATGATGATGATGATGATGATGATGCTGATGCTGACGATGATGATGCTGAATATTATGATGATGATGCTGATGATGATGATGATGATGATGACGATGCTGCTGCTGCTGATGATGACGAGGATGATGCTGACGGTGACGATGACGATGACGGTGATGATGACGATGATGCGCAGTGGATGAGGATAATGGCGACGTTGATGGTGTTGGTGATGGTGCCGGTGATGGCGATGCTGACGATGCTGACGATGATGATCTGCTGCTGCTGCTGATACTGCTGGTGATGACAACGATGATGAGGATGTTGATGATGCTGATGCTGATGCTGCTGCTGCTGATGACGATGATGATGATGATGATGATGATGATGATGATGACCATGCCGACGATGGTGGCGATGATCATGCCGATGATGGTGCTGATCATGATGATGAGAGTGATGATGATGATGATGATGATGATGATGATGATGATGATGATGCTGACGATGATGATGGTGATGATGATGATGATGATGATGATGATGATGATGATGAGGGTGATAATGGTGATGATGACGATGACGATGCCGATGCTGCTGATGATGCTGATGCTGCTGCTGCTGATGCTGATGATGCTAATGATACTGACGATGCCGATGATAATGCTGCTGGTGATGATGATGCTGCTGCTGCTGATGATGATAACTATGATGCCGCTGCTGATGATGATGTGATTGTTTTTGTTGATGATGATGATGGTGATGTCGATGCTGATGATGTTGGTGGTGATGATGATGCTGATGCTGGTCATGATGCTGCTGATGATGATGCTGCTGATGCTAACATTACTGATGATGCCGTCGATGCTGCTGCTGGTCATGATGATGATGCTGCTGATGATGATACTGCTGAGGATGATGCTGTTTATGCTTCTGATGATGATGCTAATGCTGCTGCTGCTGATGCTTCTGATGATGATGGTGAGGAGGAGGAGGAGGACGCGGACGAGGAAGAGGATGGAGATGAAGAGGAAGAGGATGATGATGATGATGATGATGAGGAGGAGGAGGAGGAGGAGGAGGAGGAGGAGGAAGAGGAGGACAAGGAGGGGTAGAAGGAAAGGAAGGAAGGAGACTGGGGAGGAGGAGGAGGAGGATGAGGAGAGGAGAAGGAGGAGGAGGAGGAGGAAGAAGGAGCAAGAGGAGGCGGATAAGCTTGGAGGTGCAGGCAAAGAGGGGGTCCTCCCCTCCTTCTCCTCCCTCCCCCCCTCCTCCCCTCCCTCCATCCCGTCTCCTTATAGACAACGCCGCCTCGTGTGACCACCAGACATGTCGGTAGGATGGGCTGGGCGTTTCGAATAAGATTTCCTCCCCGAGTCGCCCTTACCCGCGCGAGGACCGCCAGGGCTTTCCGGCAGGAGCGGGGCGCAGGTCTTTGAGGGTCATGTCCCCTTCGCCTCCTCCTCTCCACCCTACTCCTCCTCACTCCCCCTCCCCCCTCCTCCTCCACCTCCTCCATCCTCATCCTCCCTTCCTCCCCTTCCCCCTCCCCTCCCGCCTCTCCTCCTCCTCCATCCTCTCTCCCTCCTCCTCCCTCCTCCCCCCTCCTCCTCCTCCTCTCTCTCTCTCCTCTCCTCTCTCTCCTCCTCCGCCTCCCTCCTTCCTCCTCCTCCTCCCCTCCTCCTCCTCCTCCTCCTCCTCCTCCTCCTCCTCCTCCTCCTCCTCCTCCTCCTCCTCCTCCTCCTCCTCCTCTCCCTCCTCCTCGGGATTGTTCGTTCCGCGAGATGGGGAAGGTGCGCAGCACACGGGGGTCCGCGGGGCCCTCAAAGAAGCCCCCCGACCTCCTTCGGGTGCCGACCGCCCCACCCCGCGGTGGGTTCGCGCCGCGGCGGCGCGGCGGCGACCCCAGCGCGGGCGCTCAGGGTGGAGCGCCGCTGGCGGCCCGGAGTCTGCCGACGTCTCGTGCTCCGTGCTGCCGGCACGTCTCGCCTGCGCCGGCTCTGGGCAGGCGCTCCCATGCATCCCTGAGCTCAGAGATGAGGAGAAAGACGCCCATATTCAGATCAACTGCGTTCCTTCTTATGCAGATTGTCTCACTCTCCAGGCCGCTAGGACGGGCCGAGCTCGCGTGGCGCACGGGGGCCAGGGAGGGAGCCCGCGCGCGCCGCCGCCCGGCAGGTGCGGCGTAGGGAGTGGCTCCCGCGCCCCGTCTCCCGACGTGGCGCGCGCCGGTGGGCGGACAAAAAGTGTCCACACTTGTCGCGCCAAGACAACTCGGCGTCAAATCACGTCGAGCGAATATGTATACCCCCCTTTCCCCCAACTCAAAATTGGCGGGGTTAGGCGGCAGGCCGCGCGCCAGGGACAAAATGTGGACACTTCAACTTTGGGTTTGGGGGGGAGGGGTGCGAGGCAAGTGCATCATGCTGTTGCGGTTGTTATCGCGTCGCAGTGTCTTGCCGCCCTGGGTGTGGACACTTTTTGTCCGGGCACCGGCGCGTGCGCGCGCCCCCCCTCGTTCGGCGTTGAGGGGTCCACGCGGTGTCAGAGAGAAGCGCTCAAGCCGTCACGACACGAGTCTGCCGTGGCCTCTTTTCTGGATTTCTGGCGTCGCGTGCCGGGGCTGGGCCTCCAGAGCCCCGGCGACGGAACCGGTCTTCTGCCGCTGGTCGTTCTGTGAGAGTCCAAAAGCCCGAAGGCGGCATCCTCAGGCTCGTTTTTGTTCGTCGTCTGCCTTTCTTGTGCCCGGAGGTCCGGGTCCTCTTCCTCTCACTCCGCTCCCCTACGCGCGCTCCCGCGTGCTCGGGAACGCGTGGAGAGGGGATGGGGAGGGGAGGAGCAGAGCAGAGCCGAGCAATACACAGACGAGGTGCCGCAGGTGAAACCTTGGGGGCCAGAGATACCAACCACAGAGAAAGCACAGACCTGATGTTTGGTGGAATCAGGAGAGGAAAAGGATCATGGATGGGGGAGGGGTGAGGGAGATAGGGAGGGGACGAAGAGGGCTAGAGCGAGGGAGGAAAGGTGGACGAGGATGAGGATGGAAATGGGGATGAGGAAGAGGATGAGGAGGAGGACCAAAGTGAGTCAAATTTTTCCTTTGCGATTCTGCAGTACATTGTCCCGTCCGAAGTCCCCTCCTCACTCGCCCCTACAAGTCTTCATTCTTGCTACATGCAGGCCCCCCCCCAGAAATACCATCACAGTTGGACCTACCGTTTTGGCGAGGGCCCCGCTTTCAAAACGGTCGCTTTGCATATTCTGGCGCGTGCTCCAGAGCGCGATATTCAATGATCATACATTTCAACGAGGTGTTCAGCGGTGCTCCCCATTCGATGAAGCACCGCCCTGCCAGCCGTGTCTCCGTCGCACATTTTGTACACTTGTGGTCATGCGTTTCGAGGAAATCCCACGCGACAGCTCCATTCAGAAAAGAAGTCACCTGGATTTGTGCAGCGCTAGATTCTTTGTTTTTTTGAGTCTTTAAGCTTCGGTCGCTAGAAAATGGTATTTTGGATTCCCAGATTCCGATTTATTTTAAGCGCCTTCCTACTTCACTGATCAGGGGGCGGACGGAACCCAGTATATTTTCAACGCCTTCCTGCTGCATGGTTCTACCTACTTCTTCCGACCGGTGGGTACACTTGTGGTCATGCACTTCGAGGAAGTCCCAAACGACAGCTCCATTTAGAAAAGAAACCACCAGGATTCGTGCAACGCTGCATTCTCTTTGAACTTTTTGGGTTTTCAAGCTTAGCGATGTCTCAAACGAGAACTCCCTTCAGACAACTAGATGTCCTCTATAACGCTTAAAGAAACGGATGCGCGCGGCGCTGAGGCGAGAGTACCGTTTTGAAAGTGACCACTGCAATCTCTGGAACTGTTAGAAGATTTAGCGACGGATGGCCGCGGTGCCAAGGCGAGAGCAACACTTTGAATAGGGACCGCCCTCCATCCGTGAAGCAGACCAACTTTCAAAACGAATGTGTGCGGAGCTACGGCGAGAACGCTCTTTGGCAAGGGGCACCCCTTCGATTTCTGAACATTCTGATATTTTTCATGAGGATGTGCGCGGTGCTAAGGCGACGGCCACATTTCGAACATGGCCCCCGTTACATCTCTGAAATGCTACACACTTTTATGATGAATGTGAGCGCCGGTAAGGCGATAACCTCATTTTGAAAATGCTCCTGCCCCCCATCCTGAGCCATTGCAAAGCTTAGAGACGACTGTGCGCGGCGCTCAGGCGAGAGCCACATTTCGCAAGCTGCCCCCTCCAGCCGCGAAATGCGAAATCGGTGCGAGTTTTAAGACGAATGTCCGCGTCGCCCAGGCGACGAGGAACCTTCCTCCATCCGTGAAGCTGATGCCCACTTCTTAGACGAATGCTCGCGGTGCTAAGGCGAGAGCGCTATTTTGAAAACGACCCAACCTCCACTTGTTGCAAATTCTTGACGCTTCGCGCATCTCCACCAGTTAGCCTCGCCTGCTGGCCCAGACGACGCCTTCCGCTCCCTGTCCGCCGCCTCGGAGCCGCCGACCAAAAAAGCATCTCCACCAGTCGGCCCGGCTAGTCTCTCCTCCCGCTGCTCTCTTGTTGTCTCTCTTTTTTTCTTTCCCGTGTGCAATTTAGGCTCCTGCTTGTTAGCTGTAGCTTTGGACGGCGCTCGGCCCTTCCGTTTGCGCTCACGAACAAAAACATCTCCACCAGTCCATGTATGAAACGAGGTCCAAGCAGAAGATAGCCGTGAAGCGAAAGCTCGCGAGCAGGCCGAGCAGGCCCTTTCTTGGGGCCCTCTTGGAGCCCTCCCGGGGCTATTTTGGAGAGTTTTGCATCCGCCATCTAGAGGCCTCGAAAACCAGCTGGATGCGAACAAGCGAGAAAACACAATTCATTGATTTTTCAAAGGGTTCTCCAGGGTCCCCAGGGTGCTCCAGGGTCCCCAAACCGGGAGGGTCCCCAGGGTGCTCCGAGAGCACTTGGAGCCGTCTCGTGGCTCTCTTGGGGCCTCCTGAAGGCATGTCGACGGCTATCTTGAACCGTAGTCGGAGATCTGCCGTCTGGGGGTCATCTTGGAGCACCAGGTGCAATCTCGAAGCCATCTTGAGCAAACAAAGATCCCCCTGACGGCTCGCGATACCCACGACGAATTTCATGGAGGACAATGGGTATGGTGTTGGGGGTGGTGATAATGGTTGTGGTGATGATGGGAAGGATGCAGAGGGAGGCGGGCAAGGACGGATGGTCGGAGTGCCCGCGCCAGTGGCCTTCCAGTCGGGCCGCCCGAGGAGGAGGCCAAGGAGGCGAGCCTGGCTTCCGCCAGACACGACAGGCCTGGCACTGTCGTCGTCGTTGTCGTCGTCGTTCCTCGTCCTCGTCCTCGTCCTCGTCCTCGCATTCGGGAGATGGAAGGATGATGATGACGAGGAGGATGAAACGGAGGAGGATGAGGAGGATGAGGAGGCGGAGGAGGAGGAGGAAGAGGAGGAGGAGGAGGAGGAGGAGGAGGAGGAGGAGGAGGAGGAGGAGGAGGAGGAGGAGGAGTGTTCCCCACCCCGTCTGTTCGGCACCCCGTTTTACTTTTTGACTGGTATTTTTTGTGGGCTTTCTGGGTGTGGGCCCTCTCCCCACTCGTCTTTCCATTTTCCTCTTCCCCCGATAGGGATGGTTAAGATGGTCGTGATGATGACGATGATGACGAGAAGGATGAGGAGGCGGAGGAGGAGGAGCAGGAGGAGTGGCAGCAGAGGAGGATGCCGAGAAGGCCGATGATGAAGAGGAGGTTGAGTAACATGATGATGAGGAGGAGGGTGAGAATGAGGATGAGGAGGAGGAGGACGAGGATGATGATGTCAATGATGATGATGATTATGATGCTGATGAGGATGATGATGATGATGCAGCTGATGATGATGATGATGATGATGATGATGATGCTGATGCTGGTGATGACGCTGATGATGATGCTGATGAGTATGCTAAACATGACGACGATGACGATGACGATAACGATGACGATCCTGATGGTGATGATGATACTGATGCTGATGGTAATGATGATGCTGATGTTGATGATGGTGGTTGCTGCTGCCGATAATGCTGATGATGATGATGCTGATGGCGATGGTAATTATGATTAGGATACGGATGAGGATTTTGTTTGTGATGACGATGATGGTGAATGTGATGGTGACGGTGGTTGCGACGATAATGATAAGGATGAGGATGTTGATGACGATTATGATGCTGATGACGACGGTGATGTTGATGATGATAGTGGCAGTGATGATGATGATGATGATGATGATGATGATGATGATGAAGATGGTAATGACGATGATGATATAGATGCTGATGATGCTGACGATGATCATGTTGTTGATGATGATAATGTTTGTGGTGTTGGTGATGATGCTGCTGATGTGATGATGATGATGATGATGATGATGATGATGATGATGATGATGATGATGATGATGATGATGCTGATGCCGTCGATGCTATAATGGCAATGGTGTTGATGAAGACGAGAGCATGGTGATGAGGAGGAGGAGGATCAGGATGACGATTGATGGTGGGGGTGATGATGTGGATGATGATTGCAATGACGAGGCTGCTGATGATGAGGAGGAGCATGATGACATCCTCCGCCCCGCCTTGCCTTTCTCCTCACGCTCATCCGCTCAAGGTCCAGGTCGACCAGTGGCCCTACCTGACGAGATCAATCCCCGGACGCATCACGGACACCTCGGGCCCTTAAGAGCCAGGAGCAGCGCGCATGTCGTGATGACAGGGGGTGCCGAAGTGGCATGCAGGGGCCAGAGGGGGTATGAGCTTCTGTGCAGCCCCTCCTGGGAAAATGCCAAGCCAAGTCTCAGACAAATGTTTGTGCATTGTGTCTCGCTATCCCCTCCTTCTCCATCCATCCACTCCCTCCCTCCCTCCTTCTCCTTTTCCCTCGCCGATCGCTCTCTCCCTCCTCTCTCCTCGTCGTCCCCCCCCTACGCTTTTCGCAAGGCCTGGCGACCCGATGGCCATAGCGCGCCTGTACAGCGACCCCGGGTTCTGGTCCAAGGCGGCAGAGCTGACAGACAACCCCCAAGGGGACAAACCAGGGGTGTTGCCATAGCCAGGGAGGAGGAAGCAGGGAGAATGATGATGATGATGATGCTGCTGCTGCTGATGACGACGACGACGACGAGGATGATGATGATGCTGTTGCTGATGATGATGCTGCGGAGGATGATGATGCTGATGATTATTGTGATGCTGGTGATGGCGTCGACGTTAATGTTGATAATGAAGATGATGAGGTTGACGATGACGCGGGTGTGATGACAATGGCGACGAGGTCGACTATGACAAGGAAGACTACAACCATGAGGCTGATGTCGTTGAGCATGATGGTAGTGCTGATGATTCTGCTGCTGAAAATGATGATGATGCTGACGATGATGACGACGATGATGCTGCTGCTGATGATGATGATGGCGATATTGAGGGTGATGGTGGGGGTGATAAAAATGCTGTCGTTGATGATGATTATATTGCTGATGATGGTCATAATGATGCTGCTGCTGATGGTAATGGTGAGCATGCTGTCCATGATCAGGATCAGGATGACGAGGACGTGCTGATGGTGGTGGTGGTGATGATGATGGTGACGGCTATGATGATGATGAAGAAGATGATGAAGATGATGATGATGATGATGATGATGATGATGATGATGATGATGATGATGATGATGTTGATGACGAGGATGATGATGCCGATGATTACGCTGTTGATGATTGCTGGTGGCGGTGATGATGATGATACTGACGATGTTGAGGATTCTGATGATGATGAGGGTGATGATATGGATTGGGATGGGGACGGATTATTGTGTTGATTACGATGAGGACTAGGAGGAGGACGGTGATGAGGACGACGCTGCTTCTGATGATGATGGCGACGACGCCGACGATGATGATGATGATGCTGATGTTGATTCTGATGACGTTGATGATGGTGATGGTAAGGATGAGAAGGGTGATGTCGACGACGACGACGGTGCTGCTGCTGACGGTGACGATGATGCTGCTGCTGCTGATGATGATGACGTTGACGATGGTGATGGTGATGATGATGATGATGATGATGATGATGATGATGATGATGATGATGATGATGATGATGATAGTGATGCTGATGCTGATGCTGTTGCTAATGTTGATGCTGATGCTGATGCTGCTGCTGCTGCTGCTGATGATGTTGATGATGATGATGATGATGATGATGATGATGATGATGATGATGATGATGATTGCTGGTGGGAACGACGAGGAGGGAACAACGAGGAGGCGGTGATGGCAGGAACGACGAGGAGGGAGAAGGGAGGGGGAGATGTGGGAGGGAGGGAGGGAGGGAGGGAGGGAGGGAAGTAGAGAGGGTGCGAGGGTGGAGGGTGGGAGGGAAACGAAGCGAAGCTAAGGCGCTGGAGTCGGGCACGCAAGCGTGCCCGTGCCCTCTTGGGCAGGGCGCATGAGGCCGTGGCCTCATACCGTGTCTAAGTGGAAGGTGCGGGGGAAATACTTCAGGAACCAATGCAGAAAGCAGGTAAAGAAGAACATGCGGATTAACTAGAAGATCCAGATGGCGTGGTAGAATATGTTCACGGACCAGATCAAGATCGAGTCGGTGCGGTCAGAGCCCTGGTTGTTACACTTGATTCTCGCAGGCAGTCGGTGTGCTTATGCTGGTGCTGATGTTACGTTGCTGTCGGTGTTGGTGGTCGGTGGTGCAGGCTCTGGATGGTGGAGGTGCTAGAGGGCGGGAGGGGAGGAGGGATGGATGGAGGAAGCAAGAGGAGGAGGGCTGGCCCTGAACCCCCCTGGACCGCTGCCGGGCTTCCAGCCGCCCGGAAGGCGAATGCCGCGCTCGTGCCGCTGGAGGACCTGGCGCCCCGTTGTCCTACCGGCTCCAGGGAGGGGAGGGGGTGCACGAGGAGGTGGAGGAGGTGGAGGAGGAGGGAGGAGAAAGGAGGGAGGAGGGATGCAGGGGGGGAGGGAGGGGGGGAGAAGGGAGGCAGGGGGGAGGGAGGGGGGGTAGGGGAAGTGAGGAGGAGGAGGAGGAGGAGGAGGAGGAGGAGAGGAGGAGGAGGAGGAGGAGGAGGAGGAGGAGGAGGAGGAGGAGGAGGAGGAGGAGGAGGAGGAGGAGGAGGAGGAGGAGGAGGAGGAGGACTGGACAGAGGATGTAGGAGGGAGGGACGCAGCGTGAAGGATGGCGATGTGGAGGAGGCGCACCGTATCTGCATTCTTTTTTTTCGAGGGGCCACCAATCCTACAGCAACCTCCTCGTCTGATGTGGCGACTCTGTTACTCGGGAGGCTCTTGCCTCATCCTCTTCATTATCATAATCACCGTCATCATGACCATCATGATCACGAACGGGTCAATCATCATTAGTTCATATATGCGCTGGCTTCTGTTTGCAGCCCAAGGAATGCCAGCTCATCCCGCTCTACGCCACCTTGACCACCTACACTGTCGAGGATGGGCGCGATCCGCTGCAAGCCATCGTCCCCGAGCGGGCCCAGCTCAACGTGGTCAAGTTTACCACCTCCCTCGGGTCCACCATGGGCCCCCACGCCGACCTCGACACCTGGAACGCGCCGATCTCCAAATGGAAGCAACGTGCATGGCCGACCTCCTCGACTCCCCAGCTTGCTCTGCAGTGCGCATCTCGCTGAGCTCTTCGCCATCGCCCTCCTGCGGCTCCACCAAGGTCCGTCAGCTGAGAGGCCAGCGCGGGGTCGGGTGGGGCAGACGCAGGCGGGCGGAGCGGCGGGGCGGGGCAGGCTGCCTCTTTAACGTCGCCCACGACCGAGCCAGAGGATGACGAGGCCAGCGATGGTTGACCAGCTTCCCCAGGGTCCCAACTCGTGCACGGCCCAAGCCAAGATGATGCTCCACAGCCTGCACCACCCAGCTTGAACGCTCATCCCTACACTTCATTTGGTCGCCGTGGTGTTATCAGACAGCTGCGCAAGACCACGTCAGCACGAGGGACCCTGGCTGGCATTCGATATTGATACTGGTTGGCTTCAGCTCGGAAAGCTCGTATGCTGCAACGAGTGAGACAGCAGGGATCACTCAAGCTTGTGGGAAGCGGCCCACCTAGGCATACTTTTTGCGACAACGTGCCCCTGGGACAACCAATCGGCCAGTTCACCGGCATCCTCTGCCGCGGGCTCTCGTATCCGAGTAACGGAGCGGCGAGCTGCAGGCTTTCCGAGCTTGTGCCAAGTCAGCTGCTTCGCAGCAGATCGCAGGGTACCAACTTACCAAACGTTGTTTTGAGTTCGTGCCAGCTTTACCACGTCGCAGCAGAGTCCAGGCACCAACCGCGCAGGCACACGGAGAAGGCGGGGCGAGGACAAGTGCGGGCGGCAGCGGTTCCTTGCTGCGCTTCCCGCCCCATCACGTCCGCCGATCCCCCCGTGGCCCCTGCTGCGGGAGGGAACGCTTCTCTCTCCCTCCGCCTGCCTTGTCGTTGTCGTTCTCTCCTCCTCCTCCTCCTCATCTTCCTCCTCCTCCTCATCCTCTGTCTACTCATCCTAGCCCCCCGCGACCTGCGGCCTCCTTCTCAACCTCCTCCTTTCCTCCTCAGCCTCCACCTCTGCCTGCATCCTCCTCCTCTGCTGTCCCCTCTGCCCTTTGCACCTCCTCCACATCCTGCCCACTCGTTCTACTCAGGCGGCGGAGGAGGCGGCGGAGGAGGAGGAGGAAAAGGAGGAGGAGGAGGAGGAGGAGGAGGAGGAGGAGGAGGAGGAGGAATGATGTGGAGACGCTCACGTCGTCGTCGCCGCCGCCATCGTCGTCGTCGTCGCCGCCGCTGTCGCCACTGCTCCTCCTCACGAGTCGGCTGCGGAGCCGCAGGACGACCCCGAGATCCAGCGGCTCGTGGCCGAAGATCGGCACAAGAAGGCCGCGCACGCCAACCTCAGCCCCGCGCTGCGCCAGTCGGTCTCGAGACTCTACGACGACCGGCGGCGCCTCGAGGACGCCTCGGGGGGGGAGGATCGATGATCGATGCCTCCTTGGGCGTCCTCGGCACCCTTCGGGCCCCGCGCTGCGCCAGTCGGCCTCGAGACCCTGTGATGGCCGCCAGCGCCACGAGGACCGCCTCGGGGGGGGGATCGAGGCTCAGGGCCCTGTGGGCGTTCCCTCGGCGCCTCCCCCTGGGCCCCCGGGGGACTCTCCGCGAGGCCTGGAGGGACCTCTGTGGCTGCCTCAGAGGGAGCGCCCGCGCTGGCTCGAGCCGGCGTGCGATCGCGTGCGTGCGTGCCGCGGGGCTGCCTCCTCCGAGCCGCATCGCGAGGCCGGCCCCCAGCAGCCACGGCCGACGGGCCGGACGAGAGGGGCCAGGCAGGACAGGGGAGCGGGGGAGCTACGACGTCTGCTGCGTGCAGCTGGCTTCGGCCCCGTCGCCGCCGGGCCCGCTCTGCGACGCATCTGGCCGCCTCCCAGCGTCTCGAGGCGCCCGGGAGGCCAGCTGCGTGAGTCAGGAGGGGAAGAAGCACACAGACACAATGAATCGTCGAGTCCCAGGAAAATGTGGGAAACTATGGGAATCGGGCGGGAAGACAAAAAACCCAGGAAATGTAGGACAATATGGGGAATCGTTTTATTTGTGTGTATTTATTATTTGTGTGTCCCAGGGCCCCTTCGGTGAGTTGGTCCTCTGCCCCAGCCTTTGCGATCCTGCCCTCTTCGTCCGCCCCGAGGCTGCCCGGCGAGGGAGAGGGGGGTGCGAGGCGCAGGCAGGCAGGCGGGCGGCAGACCACGGCGCACGCGCCAGCAGGAGGCCGTGCCCTCGCGGGGCGAGGCAGGCGGGCAGGCAGGCGGAATGGGGATCCGCGGGGGCGTTCTTGCGGGTGTCGGCCGCGCGCAGAAGGGACTTAGGGGGGAGGGGGGAAGGCTTCTTAGGAGCACCGCTGCTTCTCAGGAGGCGCGGGCCCTCTCTATATACATGCAAGCCCCGGCGCCTGCCGAGGGGCAGCCCCCTTCTGAGAAGCCTTCCCCTCTCCCCCTGCCCCCCTCTGCGCGCCGCCGAGGGTGGAGCTCAACGTCCGCGACCTTCACAGGGGTGCCACGTATCACTCGAGGCGGCAAGTAAGGCTCCGTGATCGACTGGTGGAAGACAGCGAATACGGGGTCCCGAGACATTTCCGAACACCCTGGGGGACCCCCGAAGACCTACAGGGGCCCCAAGAGGAGCTCGGCAGCCTGCAGGCGCCTTTCCCCTCCGAGCCCTCCCCCTTGTACTTTTTGTTCTTCTGCTCCTGCCTCGTCGTTCTCCTGCTCTTTCTCGTCCTAGTTGGCCTCGTCGTGCTTCTCCTCCTCCTCCTCCTCCTCCTCCTCCTCCTCCTCGTGTATGTCCTCGTCGTCCTGCCCCTCGTCTTTTCTGTCCTCCATCCCGCTCCTCCGCCCATCCAGCTCCCCAACATCTTTCTTTTCTCTCCCTCTTCCGCGCTGTCGTCTTCGTTGTCGTCCTCATCTACCTCCGTAGCCATATTGGTTTAAGAGCCGACAGGAGAACGCTTGTTTTTGGTAGCTTGTGCTTTTCATCTGCATTGTCGCCTCTTTCCTGTGTGAGGTGGCTACGCGGCTGGCAGAGGTGTTCCTTCCAATTCTGCGTTCACAGGGCGGCCGTTTATCTGCGCGTGTGCGTCTTTTGGGCAGGGGTACTTTGGACAATCCTGACCATGGTCTGGAACAGTGTGTATTTCGGCGCCACGGTTACTTGTGCGAAGTTCCAGCTCAGTGTTCATCTTCCGTTCCACGCTGCGACACTTGCTCGCTCAGTTGTTGGGGGCCGAGGCAATCATTCAAGTCGGAGGCATTTCCTGCGTGCTGGAATTATGCTAACGGAGTTCCCCACATAATGATGTTATTGGGATAGCGGAATCAAGGATCATTTTGTCATGAAATTGCCGACCTGCCCTCGCCCTCGCTCAGGCGGGGCCTCCGTGGAGGGTGGGAGGGGCACGAAACCTGATAAATAACACTGTTTTCGAATAGCGTCCTCGCTCAGGCGGGGCCTCCCTGGAGGGGTGGGAGGGGCACGAAACCTGATAAATAACACTGTTTTCGAATAGCGTCCTCGCTCAGGCGGGGCCTCCCTGGAGGGGTGGGAGGGGCACGAAACCTGATAAATAACACTGTTTTCGAATAGCGTCCTCGCTCAGGCGGGGCCTCCCTGGAGGGGTGGGAGGGGCACGAAACCTGATAAATAACTCGAATACCCTCCTCGCTCAGGCGGGGCCTCCCTGGAGGGGTGGGAGGGGCACGAAACCTGATAAATAACACTGTTTTCGAATAGCGTCCTCGCTCAGGCGGGGCCTCCCTGGAGGGGTGGGAGGGGCACGAAACCTGATAAATAACACTGTTTTCGAATAGCGTCCTCGCTCAGGCGGGGCCTCCCTGGAGGGGTGGGAGGGCACGAAACCTGATAAATAACACTCGCTCAGGCGGGGCCTTTCGAATAGCGTCCTCGCTCAGGCGGGGCCTCCCTGGAGGGGTGGGAGGGGCACGAAACCTGATAAATAACACTGTTTTCGAATAGCGTCCTCGCTCAGGCGGGGCCTCCCTGGAGGGGTGGGAGGGGCGCATGGTATTGGTATGGTATTGGTATGGTATTGGTATGGTGGGAGGGAGCTCAGACGAAACCTGATAAATAACAGGTGTTGCATGGTATTGGTATGGTATTGGTATGGTATGGTATGGCTTGGTATGGTATTGTATTGGTTGGTATGGCTGGTATGGGTATGGTGGTACGTATAATGGCTTGGTATGGTTTGGTATGGGTTGGGTATGGTATGCTTGGTATGGTATGGTGATGTGCGGAATGGTATCGGATGGTTTAGGAGAAGGACGCGGGAGGAGGAGGAGGAGGAGGAGGAGGAGGAGGAGGAGGAGGAGGAGGAGGAGGAGGAGGAGGAGGAGGAGGAGAAGGAGAGGGTGTTCTGGGAAAACAAGACCCCACTCAGGATGTGGGGAAAACAACGCCTCGTGGTCTTGAAACACCCGCCAGCGCTTCTCGTGAAGTGGCTATTGGGAGTAGTGCCCAGGATGGGAGCGGCGTCATCTGTACTCCCCATTGGCGCAGACTGCGATGCCCTAGTCCTCAGGCCGACAAGTTCGTTCCTCTCGTTGGCCGTCCCGGCTGGGGTCGACACACATCCTGCCGCCCTAAGCGAGCGTCGCATATGTTTGCGCTGTTCTGTTCTACAACGTTTCGGATCATGTTGGATTGGTGTCTAGGTTTGCCTATCCGGAGGCTCAGGTTTACCTATCCTGGCTATCCGGAGGCTCAGGTTTGTCTTTCCGAGGTCAATGGTATTGCGTGACGCGGCATCCAGTTGATGCATGGCGATGGGTAGAGAAATTGATAACTCTTCGCGTTGGTGGAGAGTGCGGTGTGGTCTACATTCGTGACTGCGCCGACCCAGCCCGCCTGCGCCATTGAGCGAGCCCTTCGTCACTCACTGGGAGCTCAAAGGCGCGGTGTAAGCGATCTGCGAGCTGCAGGTCGATTAAATACATGGATGTTGTTTCAACGGGGCTGGGGCGCGTGGATGCCTGCGTGGGTTCCGCGCGGGAGGACCTGCGAGTCTCTCAACAGCACCACATCGAGCACATTGGTGAATGGATTCGGGATGTCCTGGGCTTCGAGAACTCCGACGAGCTGGTCGGCAACAGCATTTGCGAGAGTGGAGGCAAAGCGGCAGCTCGCAGCGGCCGCAGAGACCCGCGCTCATTCTTTCATTGACGCCGCTGGTGCCTTTCGGCCATTTCTCCGGGATGCCGCGCAAAACGTCATTCAGCCATCATCTGCCATCCTCGAGCCTCTTCTTGCTGAACGTGGGCTTCGCCATCTTGCTCCCGCCGTGGCGGCCTGGAGCATTCCTACAGGTGCATGGCGGTAGGGTGCGCCCATGCATATTCGCACGTGCCCCTCGTGCTCTTTTGCTCTTCCTCCTCCTCCTCCTCCTCCTCCTCCTCCTCCGCTCGTGCTGGGCATGTGTGCGATTGCCCCAGGCTGTGCCCTAGCTGGTCTGTGCATTCGCGAGCTTTGCTGTTTTCCTCCTCCTCCCCCCTCCTCGGATCTGCTTGCCTCTGTCTTCCGCAGGGGGGCAGGGTTTGTCCTCCCTGGATGGCGCTTGCAACAGGCATTATGCCAGTTTTGGATGTACGTGCCTGTCCTCGATTCGCGGCTCGGTTCAGTTCGTTTCTTTCCTCTCTCCTCCTCCTGCCCCTCGCCTCCCCTTGCTCCTCGCGCGGCGCCGACACGTTTCGGGGGTTGGTTCTTACTGGTGGAACTGCTCGAAGTTCTGCCCCGCTGAACTGTTCATGTCGTGCCCGAATCGCACGATTTGGATCCCCGATCTGTGTGCTCATCGTCTTCCCATTCTTCGTCTGCGATATTGTGCCATGTATAACACGGGTGCCGTTTACGGAATGTTTACCCCCACGGGTGCATCTTGTATTCACATCGCGCGGCAGGCTGAGATAGCTGGAGGCTCCGTCATGTGGTCTCTCCGTTAAATGCAGTTGCAGTGGAGGGTTGGCTTGTCCCACACATGAAGAAGTTGTGAGGTGCTGGTTGCCGCTTCGTTGGTTCGAGCAGTGCCCACACCAACGATTATATTTCTAGGGTAAAGCGCGAGATTGGGCTGGGTGCGCTGGCTCAGCTGTCTTCTTGTGGACAGCAGTTTGTATTTCAGGAGACAACTGACTTGCATGCGGGGCGCGCAGATCCGGTGCTGGCTTGTGCGCCGCAGGCCTCCGACTTGCCCTCTCAAGTCGGCGCAATCTTCCCAGCGGTCCCCAGTCGACGCATTTCCCTTGCAGGATGTTTCCTTCATCATTCCTCCTCCCCTCTGGCGACCGTGATCCGCCGACCTCCGGGCCCCGAGGCCCTGGGCTCGAGCCACGTGCTGCGTGCTGTTTCTTGGCCTGCGTGCCCACGGCGCGAAAGGGTGCTGGGGCGGGGCGGCACC